AAAATAAAATTTTGAATAACCCCCCCCCCCCCCCTCAACCAAAGATTAAAAAATAAATGAATAATATCATCAACGAGATTGTAAACCCATTTCTTCCGCAAAAAAAAAAAATTTTGCATTTCATCTGCTTTGTTCTTATTTGGATGAGTGATAAATTTCATTAGTGAATTCAATTAAGCTATGTAGTTTGGCTTCACTGATTGAATTAAGCTGCATTTTCAATTCTGAACCAATGGTAGTTTTTATTTCCATCGAAAACCTTTTTAAAGCTATTCTTTGTCAAGATTAAAATTTCAACATATTTCAATTATTTCAATAGTACTCTTGTGGGATTTAGAAGACGTCACAAGAGAGTTGAGGGTGATAAGATGTTTTCCTTTGCAAACCAATCATTTCATTGCAATTAGGCAGATATACATTTTATGGTCACTATAAATTAAAATATACATTCTTTTGTCCATTTGAAATACAATTATATTGTTTACACACGTTTGATGTTCCCATTTATCGTCAACTAGAGAGGTGACCAATGCTGCCCACACTAGAAAGGTGACCAATGCTGCCCACACTAGAGAGGTGACCAATGCTGCCCACAAAAAGGTGACCAATGCTGCCCACACTAGAGAGGTGATCAATGCTGCCCACACAAGTGAAGTGACCAATGCTGCCTACACTAGAAAGGTGACCAATGCTGCCTACACTAGAAAGGTGACCAATGCTGCCCACACTAGAGAGGTGACCAATGCTGCCCACACTAGAAAGGTGACCAATGCTGCCCACACTAGAGAGGTGACCAATGCTGCCCACACTAGAAAGGTGACCAATGCTGCCCACACTAGAGAGGTGATCAATGCTGCCCACACACGTGAAGTGACCAATGCTGCCAACACTAGAAAGGTGATCAATGCACCCACACTAGAAAGGTGATCAATGCACCCACACTAGAAAGGTGATCAATGCTGCTCACACTAGAAAGGTGACCGATGCTGCCATCACTAGAGAGGGTATCAATGCTGCCCACACTAGAGAGATGATCAATGTTACCCACATTAAAAAGGTGACCAATGCAGCCCACTCTAGAAAGGTGACCATGACATGACTTAAAATCAATACAAAAATGACGAAACTTAAGGAATCAATATAACTGTATATGAAAGAAAAAACTTGTAACAATTTATAACAAAGTCAACTGCTTATTCCTGCCAAAGACAATAGTGGACTGGAACACGCTTCTAAAAGTAACTGTTGAGGCGACAATACTTCAAAAAATTGCGTCTGTTGTCAATAGCATTCTAACTCACAGTTCCTGATACCCTCGCTGTATAACCTTTGCATCCAGTGAAATATCCTCTTCTATACCAGGATCAGAAACATTGCAATTCCCCTCTTCATACATACATAGGAGCCAGAATGATCAATAAATTGATCGTGGTCCCTTAAAATATAGAAGAAGAAGAAGAAGAAGAAGGCAAACACATCTCATGAGGCAACATAAACAATTTATAAAATAATTAAAAATGAATCAGTCTTTTACATTGTATACTGACAGTAATGAGTATTCCTATACAACCAATCTCAACGTTGTCACATTTGTATCAGTTTTGGCAGCTATGATTACAACCTTCGTGGTGTTGTCGAACATCACCATCGTGGCGGCCATGTTGGTGTCACGTGACGCTTTTACAACAAACAACGACCACAACATCACAAAACTTCTGATGGCCTCCATGGCGTGCGTTGATATTCTAATTGGGACATTCCACATGCCGATTAGTGTTGTGAAAATTATAAATAACGGCAAGTGGATTCTGGGTACAGAGTTGTGCAGCATCTGGTACCACATCGGAAATGCTTTCTGTGGAGTCACCGCAAGTCATATATTATGTATAGCTGTAGATAAATATCTGGCAGTCGGCAAGCCTTTGGTGTATAGAGTCCTTACTAAAAGATTTGGCTACATAACGATTCTCATTTCATGGACACTTCCAAGTGCAATGTTCTTGCTACCTCTGGTCTCAGACTGGTTTGGGACGACCAACGACGAATTGACCAATGGCAATGAAAAAATAATAACATGTTCGTCTGTTTTAAACAAAAACATACTTCTATTGTTTTATTCCCTAGGAATTTATCTCCCGGTATTAACTACATACATTCTGTACGGCCTCATAATTTCTGAAATTTGGAAATTTAACAAAAGGAAATCATTTAATGCTAAAAACCATGTTCAGGTAAATTTCTACTCAAAGAAAAGTAAACTTTCAACAATTAGTGAGACTCCATCAAACAAACCGCTTTCAAACCAAGAGTCGCATTCGAAGAGATTTTGCGAAAATATTAATACCGAAAGGGACCAACAATCTAACAATCCAACATCATATCAGCAAGGCATCAGCAAGATGACGCGCCGCTTCTCCCGAAACATGAAAGCTATTCGCACACTTGGGACAATAGTGTTGTGTTTCACGTTTTGCTGGATGCCCGTGTGGATATATGTTGCTATCTATTCCTACCATCAATTAGAACTGCCATCTACGTATATTTTATTTATAGGATGGTTAGCTTACACGAACTCAGCAGTCAACCCCGTGCTGTACAGCTTTTTCAAACCTATTGGAAAATCCCTGAGATATTTATTGTGCAATGTGAAATAAAATTTGACTTGATCAAGATGTATCTTAAAATGTAGCATTTCTGAGTAATATAATTTGCTTTATTTTTTTTCTGTTTAAAAAAGAAAATTAAATCGATGAATATATTAATATTATTGATTTAAAAAAAAATTCAGCTCAGTTGAAGATTTTACCAATTTTAATCATAGTTAACATCTGAAAATTTTTGAGATGCTTGAACTGTTTGCTTATTATCATTAATATACTTTCATTTCCAAAGTAATTTTATCCAGAATCATCACTAGTATGAAACATAATTTGGTATCAGGTTGTTTTCATTTTACTACAAGTCTTTCACTCACATTACAAATTGTCTCGTAGAGATCCTTTATAAAAATGTAATCTCAAGCGATGGGGGAGGGGTGAGAATTTGACGAAAGATAGCATTCAAGTAAAGAACTTTATAAGAATCCCGCAATTAGTGTTTCACCCCCAAGCCCCTTATAACCCCCGCAATCGCACATTATTTTCACACCCTGAACTCTATTAATAGTCTAATCACCCACCCACTGTTCAATCTCAGATTCATTTCTCAAAAACAATTTTGTACAATGCAAAAGAAAATGTTACGCACCAAACGCACTTGCGTTAATTAAAAAAAAAAACTCATTGAACGCAGTTATCTAGAAAGTTATGTTATCTTCCCTTGAAAAAAAAAGAATAATTGATATTTGGGGGTTGTGGATTACGGGTGGGGCTGAAGATGTTGACCTAATGTGTTGCCACCGGCAACGAATGCATGTGCAAAGTTTCAGCTTGATAAGTTGACGGGAATTAGTTAATTAGCCGTACCAATAATTTGGCAGCCAGAGTGACCCAGTCTGCCACCCAGACAAACACGAACTAAAGCAAAATTAATACGAAGGATTTAAAAACAGATTGTATAATTGTATGATTGTTCTTCTTGTTAGTATTATTAAATTATTGCACAAACTGTTCAGTTACAATTTCTTGTTAGTATTATTAAATTATTGCACAAACTGTTCAGTTACAATTTCAAATGTTGAGGTACTTGTTGTTGTAACATGTTGTAACTGGCCAGACCTGTATATGAGAGCCGTGCATATTAATCCCCAATAGACCAAATATACAGTTTCTTAGGTGAGCCTTGCGTTTTGCAAATGTAGAGTTTTGGATGGGCTTTGGTTACCTTCGTGGGATGCTATTGAGTTTATCAAAATTGTGAACTCTAAGAAGACTGAAACGTTTGTGTAATGTTGAAAAAATATGGATGAAATTGAAACATTCGGCTAATCCGGTGGATGTTGATGATTAATTTTAAAAAAATCGATTGATTAATTTATGTGCATTTTTTTTTTTTAAATAACAGTGCTTGATCCAAAGTTTGCTCATTTGGAAAATTTAAATAAGCCATTAACATTTTTTTTTGTATGAAAACCCAACCAAATCAGTTAAATAAAAATCTTTATACTATTTCATCAACAATATGCCTATCACCTCTGAAAAACACGAAAAAACTTGTGTAATGTGCTTTCCTTTCTCTTGTTACGTGTGCAATCATTTAATGCTCCCCCCCCCCTCAGGTTTGCTTTCTCATTTTAATATGTGTTTTAAAAATCATTCCATTTTTCTTTTAAAATATATCATTGAAATAAAATTATATTTTTGATATAATTCTCCAGTGACGCCTTCTGGAGCCCAAGTGCCCTCCAAATCTTGTCGTGTTCAGTAGAGTTTCTAGTCACACGAAGGTAGAGGCAGCACATTTTGGATGGTTCTTGGGAAAATACAGAGTTAGATTTAGGAAAGCCATTACCGTATTTGTTAGACTACATCCACTAATATATATATATATTTAAAAAAATATTTTTTTTTGCTGAGGATTCGTTTCATAATTTATTAGTTTCCGTTAAATTCATCATTGCTATCTTCAACGCATGGACTATTGAAACATCATAGAGAGGAGCTGCCCTGTATTAGTCAGAATAACACCAATATCGCTAGTAATGTGACCATATGTAGTGACTATGCCACACATAATACTATCGGTTTCATGAAACCGTTAATTAAAATCTTTAAATGCCATAAGACGGCCAAATAAATCGAATTAAACCGTATAACAGTAGGGACAAGTGTAAATATACCCAGGGGTCAGGTGTCAGGGGTCAGGGCCTAGGGACACACATGTGTTTAAAGAGAAGCAGGTGACATTAAATTATAAAACACTTTAATAACTGGGAAGTGCTTAAAACTTCATGTAAGCAGAACAAATGTGAAACCCAGTCGAGAAATTCTAATTATTCAATGTCTCGTTATCTCGAGAAATTACCAGAAAATCCGCAAAATCTCCAATAAGCTGTATCAAAGCTATGTACGCAAATTGAAAGCTATTGTATCAAAGCTATGTACGCAAATTGAAAGCTATTGTATCAAAGCTATGTACGCAAATTGAAAGCTATTGTATCAAAGCTATGTACGCAAATTGAAAGCTATTGTATCAAAGCTATGTACGCAAATTGAAAGCTATAGTATCAAAGCTATGTACGCAAAATGAAAGCTATTGTATCAAAGCTATGTATACAAATTGAAAGCTATTGTATCAAAGCTATGTACGCAAATTGAAAGCTATCGTATCAAAGCTATGTACGCAAATTGAAAGCTATTCGCGACATTGTGATTTTGGAGTTTTGCTTACAGTTATGTGGAAGCAAAACTGGATTTTTGTAGCCGTTTTACATGTTTCAATTACAATTTATCATACTCGATGATCACTACATTGATAAGGATTGCACATTTTAATTCAACTATTAACCACCTGTTGGGCTGCGGCATAAAATCTGTCACCCGAGCCTTAGAAGCAGTTTCTGTACTAAAGAGATTGATTTATTGATTGTCTTTGTCAAAACTCATGTCACATTGTTCCAGGCTTCTCACCATTTCAACATAAAATGATTGTACAATTCAAACTGTATCCATTTAATATTATTTTATGTCGTGTTAAAAATGCAGCTTTTTCCAAACAAAAAAAATATTTTTAAAAATGTTTTATCTTTCGTGTTTTAAGTATTTGTTCATAGGGAATATGCATTTGTGAGGTACTCTAATGAAAAACGAAAGCCACTCTGTATTTTTTCCACGCTCCACCCAGCCCACAAGAGCCCCGGCGAGATCTCAAACCGGACCTCGCTAAAATTGAACATCCACCCTTTCCTTGCTTTCCAGTACAACCACGTCATCGTCAGATTGTGTTGTGGAGTTGACAGCCCTTGACGCTGGCTGTTATCGTGTGTCTCTCCGTACAACCACGTCATCGTCAGATTGTGTTATGGAGTTGACAGCCCTTGACGCTGGCTGTTATCGTGTGTCTCTCCGTACAACCCCTTGACGCTGGCTGTTATCGCGTGTCTCTCCGTCGTTCTGGCTTCCAGTAAAGTGAAATAATGCGTCAAAAAAAAAAAAAGAAAAAGAAGGTAATTGAGACAATTTAAAAGCTTTTAGCTGGGTAAACTTAAAAAAATGATTTTTTTACAATTTTAAAGTACTACATTATACAAACGCTGTAATAGTGGTTGTGAGTGAGGCTAGAGTTTGTGGTGTAGGACAGTCAGTTGTGTTTTATAAGGTAAGTCTTTATAGCTCAAAGGAAATATATTTTACGTGATCAAATTTTTTTTTAAAGTCTTAGTTTCTATATGGCAGCCAAAAATTTTTTGGTCTAGATATATGTAAGAACAAATATTCCAACAAGTTTATTATTATAAAATTTTACAAAATGCCTAGATAAAGTATTTTAAATATTTCTTTCGCATGTAAACTTAGCCTAAGATTATATGATATCTCTAAATCTTGTTTGAAATGAATTGAATGCGTACCATTTTTTTAGGAGTTTGTAGAATCAGATAAAGTTAAATCTGTATAAATATAAATAAAAGCTGTTAAATCATTGTGAACTAATCTTCCATTTATTTTTCAACTATCGTAAGCATGTTTGTGGTTCTTAGAACTAGGTATGTTGAAGCTTTGTGCAATAGACAGTACAATAAGATTTCAACATTTTGGTGTAGAGCCTTCTTCAGCGCAAAAGACAAAAAGAAGTAAGACAAGAAACGGAGCGCAGTAAAAATTTAATAATGTATCCCTAAATATTTTGGTTCGTTAAGATTCGCTGGGGGGACAACGCTTTTTTTTTTTAAATCAGAGAAGTAAGCTCCACTTTAAGAAATAAATGTCGCTAAATTTAGTGTTCAGACATTTTTTTTTAATGTGCAGCGGCAGCTCAGTGAAAAATTAAGAACACACTAAACTAAAATATGATTAAAAAATTCATTCTACAAAGCAAATGGAAATTTCATAATCGAAAATGTTTGTTAAGAAGTTTATGCAGACGAATAGGTTTCAGACAAACTGGAACTGGAAACGCATCGCCACTATTCGGACCCGGGTCCCTTTAGACACCATGCTATTCGGATGTCATTTGTCGTAGTTTATTTTGAAAAAATGAATAATATTTAAGTTTAGAAACAGATAGTCCATGCAATTATCTATTTGATACCAAATTGTGTCTTTAAACCTTACAATAGTTTTTTTTTTGAATTTTATTCTCAACCTCTAATTTCTCGGACTCGGGTCCACACTAGTGAGGTGACCAATACTGCTCACACTAGAGAGGTGACCAACGCTGATCACATTAGAGAGGTGGCCAACACTGTCCACACCACTGGAGAGGTGGCTATTGCTGCCCACACTATAGAGGTGATTATTGCTGTTCACACTAGAGAGGTGACCAACGCTGTCCTCACTAGAGAGGTGACTATTGCTGCTCACACTAGAGAGGTGTCTATTTCTGCTCACACTAGAGAGGTAAGTAACGCTGCAGAGGAACTAACTTAAAAAAGGAAAGCGACGAAAAATAAACAATCAACATGTAACTATATTATCTAATGAAAAACGTGTGACAAGGTCAAGGCGAGCAACAAGGTCAAGGCGAGCAAATCTCTTGAGGCAACGTAAGCAGTATATCAAAACAAAGAAATGAATCAGTCATTTACGTTGTATACTGACTGTAATGAATATCTCTATACAACAAATCTCAACGTCATCACATTTCTAGCTGTTTTCGGCTCTATGATTACAACATTCGTGGTGTTGTCCAACGTCACCATCGTCTTGGCCATGATGGCGTCCCGAGACGCTGCTTCAACACACAACGACCACAACATCACAAAACTTCTGATGGCGTCCATGGCGTGTGTGGATTTTCTCATTGGGACATTCCACATGCCGATTAGTGTTGTGCACATTATACATAACGGCAAGTGGATTCTGGGTACAGTGTTGTGCAGCATCTGGTACAACATCGGACAGGCTTTGTGTGGAGTCACCGCAAGTCATATATTGTGTATAGCTGTAGATAAATATCTAGCCGTCTGCAAGCCTTTGGTGTATAGAGTCCTTACAAAAAGAATGGGTTACGTTATGCTTCTCCTGTCATGGACCCTTCCCAGCGCAATATTCTTACTACCTCTGGTCTCAGACTGGTTTGGGACGTCTATCGACAACCTGACCAATGGCCATGATCAAATGATATCGTGCTCACCTGTTTTAAACAAAAGCATATTTTTATTTTTTTACACCCTGGGATTTTATCTCCCGGTATTAACTACATACATTCTGTACGCACTCATACTTTCAGAAATCTGGAAATTTAACAAAAGGAAAACATATAATGCTAAAAACAATGTGCAAGTAAATTTCTACTTAAAGAAAAATAAACTTTCAACAATTTTTGAGATTGAAGCCAGCACTCCTACCTCAGACGAAGCATCTCATTCGAAGGGATCTTGCGTAAACATCACTGTCGAAAGTGACCACCAATCTAACAATCCAACATCATATCAGCAAGGCATCAGCAAGATGGCGCGTCGCTTTTCCCGAAACATGAAAGCTATCCGCACGCTTGGGACAATTGTGTTGTGTTTCACTTTTTGCTGGGTGCCCTTTTGGGTATATGTTGCTATCAGCTCGTACCATCATTCCGAACTGCCTTGCTCTTACTTTTTCCTAATAGCCTGGTTGGCTTACGTGAACTCAGCAGTCAACCCTGTGCTCTATAGTTTTTTCAAACCTATTAGAAAAAGCTTGACATACTTATTGTGCAACGTGAAATAAGATTGACTTGACTCACTGCTGGTAGAAAATGTTGCAATTTTCTGAATAACATAAACTACTTTTTTTTAAAAGAAAAATCGATGGTCTTAAATGGATGTCAATATTAGTATTATTGGGAAAAAAATAAGCTCTGATTTAGATTTCCTTAATTCTAATTATAGTTAACCTCTGCGCATTTGGAGATGCAATTTAACTATTTGTTTTATGATCATTAAAATACATTATAGTTTCCAACCAAACTTAATGTCATCGAGAATGCGAACCAGCATAAAACATAATTTTATAGTTTCGTTAAAAGAAAGATCTTCATTAACAGTACGGGTCGTACCTGGTGGTTTACAGCGCTAAAAGTTATTTTTTTTCATATCTATTATTTTTCATCACTTTTAACGTAAATCCAAGCTTTTCAGTAAAGCACTTAATAAAAATACAAATCAGTTCTCACCCTCCTCAAGGCTCGCATTTAGAGACCGATCGAAAGTGATTTTCTCATTTCGACCGAAACCGAAACTAGGCCGAAACCGAAGCCGAAACCAAAAGCTTAACGAGACTTTCGGCCCAAACCGATGCCGAAACCAAAACTGAAATATTTAGATATTTGGTAATTCGTTCACGCATACATTCTGCATACATCGACAATGATGAAAGTATAAATATTTACATTATTTTTTATAAAATGAGATCATCGTGAATAATAATAAACATCTAGTGCAGGTGTCTCAAACTCGTGGCCCGCGGGCCTTTAGCGGCTCGCAAGACGCTATTTTGTCGCCGCTATATGACAGCAAAGTTTTTGTTAATGCGGTTTGTGCGTTTGCTCATTCTCATATTTGTAATGTGATCCTCTGTGACGGTTTCAGTCCAATCTCACCGACTAGTCCAAATCTGCTTTTTATTATATTTGTATAGATTTGTATGTTGATTATAATGGTAAAAAAATATTTAAAATCGAACTATAAGCTTTCTTATTTCATAGAAATTTATCAGACAAAAATGGCCAAAGTTAGCTTTTGATAAAAAGTATAAAAAGTCAGTTAGTGGGTAACGCACAACTGTAATTAACACAGTATCAAAGAAACCATATTACAATTATTGCCACTAGTGTTTAGGAGTGAGGGAAATTCCGAGCCCGTAGCTTGGTCACTTTCAAAATAGGGTTAGTCAAAAAGGCATATTCTACGATAAAAAAATCAAAATTCATTCTCCCTACAATAGCTTCTTCCTTCGCATCAATAATTCATAAATATGAAATTCTCCTTAATACTGTTTAAACACGGTTTAGCATTTGAAGCCTTCATGGAGAAAGGCGGGGTTGTTGTTCTTGTACTAAGTGATCCTAAATTGCTCATGCAATTGGCTTTTCTTGTTGACATTACACAATAGCTGAATGTACTCAATCAGAATTTACAAGACGAGGGGTAGCTTATTAGTGTTTCCTAAGACAATGTCAGGGTATTCACAAAACGTGTGTGATGTTTCTTAGGGAAACCTCGGCCATATACCAACATGCAAAGCAATCATGGACTCGGACGCAACATTCTGTAGTAACTTAGTATTACGTACACTGATGCTATTGCGAAACAACAGGCAGCATTTGATCTCATTTTATACTCCAAAACCTACACAGACGCTTCTCAGTTTTTTGCTGACCCTTTCTCCTTTAATTCGTAACATGCACCCCCCCTTTTTTCTGCACCTCAAATAGAATTTATTGATGTTCACTGCAATTCTGTGCTTCCTTTGTGCAACTGACGGGATCTAATATAGGTGTCAAGCAATCACGTTGTACGAGGAGACTCCTTGTATCATGCTTTGTATTGAACTAGCAACCCATTCATTGACAGAAAGTCACCTATTGCCACGAAATAATATACAACCAATAAACGCTTAGAACCCCCTTGCGAGGTTTGGTTACTTATAAAGGGAATATGACGCAGGTTAGTTAAACCCATAAGGAAGATTTAGTTAAACCCATAAGTTTTGACTTGCCGACTTCTTGTCTGACGCTGAGGAAAAGTTCAAGGATTGGCCCCTGGAACGTTAGAACGATTTACGAGAAGACAAAATAAGTAGCTATGGAACAGAGGAGCTACTGAGTAGACATCTGAGAAATACGTGAGGCAAGATGGACAGGAAATTGATCTACTAAATTAACTTCCGAAGAGTCCATTTTGACAAAAATTGTAACACTATCCTTTGGGAGAGAACATCAAGTGTTCCTGAGGAAACGGAGACAAAAATGCAAAAATGGAGATGGATAGGGCTCACATTAAAAAAAACAAAAACAGTGACATCCCGAGAAAGGCCCTGAAGTGGAAGCCTCAATGAACATGCAAAAGAGGAAGATGAAGAGCCAAGTGGAAGAGCGGAGTGGAGAAGGAGATGAAGAGAATGAAGAAAAGCTGGGCTGAACTAGCATATATTGTCCATGGCAGAAACAGATGGAAAAATTTTGGGATGGACTATGCTCTATTTAGAGTGAGAATGGAAAAAAAGACAAGCAAGCTATACACCTTCACTGAGATTTCCAAGTGGATCATATGACTTTGTGGGAGTACCTATCTGTGTGAAAAGCTCTTTTTTTTACTATGAACTTTAACAAGTCAAAATTCAGGGCCATACTTAACGATGAGCATCTTCAAGCTTTAATGAGAGTCTCAGTTGCTTCCTCACCTAAGCCGAATGTTGCTAAGCTGTGTAAGAAGCGCTGCGAGGTCTCTGGCAACAAGGAAAAGGATGACGTAAGTGAAGACTCGTTTTTGAGAACCCTTAATGTTTTTATTTGTTATTAATGAAGGTTGAGCAGATTGTAACAGTTGTTCATTAATGAATTTGTATTCGTTCTTTTATGGAATATTTGATGCGCCAATTCTCACTCAGTCTCTACGTCTTGCGGGCTCCAGATGACTTGAGTTTGAGACCCCTGATCTAATGAATAATTTGGATTATACCCTTTTAATTTAAAAGTAATTTACATATCTTGAAAATGTTTTCTAAAGTATTATGTTACGAGAAAATTTGTAACAAGGGTGTGGAGGGGCAAAATGCATGCTTAATAGACCATTGTTTGCCATTTGCTTTTATAATATAATTAAAATCTAGAACATATGACCACAATAATTAATTGTGGCTCTAACAGAGCCAATTACCACCTGAATATAAGTTATTAAGGCTATAATAATATCACCACAATGTTTCGCGATTTTGTCATATTAATGATTTTTTTTTCCTAAATAACTGGCAAGATATCGCTGCACTTAATTTAGCCTAGAAACAACTCGAACGTCTTTCATTGCTTGTGACGTAATTATTTTGTTCGGCGACCAACCTCCATCATCCTTATTGGTGCAGAATTTTTCTTTTTAACCGGGACCTTTACCATTCTTGTACTGACTGGTCCTGGCGAGAATCGCAAAGACATCTAAATTCGTCGCCAAAATCATAAAAGCAAACAGGTCCGTAGTAGGCCAACTACTTAATTATAATACGAACCCGTGATACATGCACATGCATGGTATTTCGTTAATAACAATCTTTATGAGCATGATAATTATGAATTTAAAGATATGGATGTTTTGAAAAAGCCTAAGTTTCCTTAATTTTTTTAATTAAAAAAAAAAATAAAAAAAAAAAATAATGGAAATATTACCATTCCATGGGATTATGCACTATTATTGCCCTTTGCTTATGACATTGATGAGCATGATATTGATAAATCAAAATGAATATCATAAATGAATGAATTGAATAAACCTAGGGATCAAAATTGTATTATTAATTTTTTTTTTTTTAAATGATGATATGAATATTAACATTCCATTAGTTTTTCTTAAACTAAGTTGTTTAAATTTAATTGAAATGTATTTTTTGGAAATATAGAACAAGTAGATCATTATGAAGGTAATTTCCGATAAGTAGTTATCATATAACATACGATGACAGCAAGACGCCGAGCAATAATGATTAGCAGATTGTTGGCCTAGAGACAGACAGTCGGATAGTTTCATAAAATTGAGATAATTTAAAACAGAGGTCCTGTTCATATTTACCAGCGTCAGTGTCAGCCTGGGTGTTTAGTATAACCTCCAATTACGCGAGGCAATCCCCCCCCCCCCCAGCCCCTTTTTTATTAGCCGAACCAGGGACAGGCCTCCCAAATGTTACGAACCAGGTATTGTCAGTTCATTAACTTCGTTGTCAAACGGTTACAATCACTCAACGAAACATTGCTTCATGAATCAAAATCATCTTTTATATTATCTGAACAGCTCGATTACTAAACCACATTGCCATCAACATTTATGTTACTCTTGCCATTCTCAAACACTACGCGATATTGCGTCATTGCCCCTTATCCAGATACATTATACAATCTCCGCATACAGATACAGTTATCCATATACTCTTTACAAAAAACATCTTTTCCATACCAAAAATTCACGCCCTTAAATATAGTTCACAACAAGATTCAACGGTGACCTCGATTTCTAAACTATACCCCGATGAAAGTTATCGATGATTTTGATAACGAGAGATACATTGCCTAGAGGCGTAGTTACTATTCTTTGCACCATTGGGGCCAAATAATTTTGTCGCTCCCTTTCACGATAAAAATTTTGCAGTTGTTTTAAAATGCCGCATATCCTTATAAAGAAAAAGTGATATCTGGGGCAACAAACTCATCATAGTAAAATAACAATAAAATAATAGTAAAATAACAATAAAATAATATAACATAACAGTAAAATAGCACAACACTATAAAATAACATATCAATAAAATAACATAACACTATAAAATAACATAACAATTAAATAACAAAAAAATATTATAACAAAACAATATAATAGCATGAAATAAACAACAATATAATAACATTACAATATAATAAAACAATAAAATAACATCACAATACATCATAATATAACAATATAATAACATAATAATATAAT